AATTAGGAAAGGACTTGTATCGCTGAAGTTTCTCGGAAAGAATTTTTACGGGATATTATCAAACAAGCAGATACGTAACAATATTTTTAAGCAAGTAAACAACATAATAATTATAAATCAATTTCTCTAATTGAAAGCTTCCATCTCGAGTTAGACATGTCACTTACATTAAATGGAATACAAAGAACAAGTGTTAACCCTCAAATTACCGACTTGTTTTGTTTCGTTCACTACCACTACCAGTGCGGTCAACGTGTTGAATAATTTTTGATTGAACCTGATACAACAATCAGTGTAAGTAATTAACCTCAAAATTTGAAAGAAATCGCTAATTTTCTATTTAAACTCTATAGAGAGTCCCAGAAGTAATTAGTGAAATTTATTACAATATTGATGATAGTTTTGTTTAAATGTTTTTTAAGACATATGTTATTTGAGAGACCCTGTAACTGATGAAGCAACTTAGTGCATAAATATTTAAAAAAAATGTATTTAAAAAGCCGATGACTATTAATAATTCTAAGGTTAAACAATGAGAATCTGATTATTTTAATACCCACCTTTCGTTTATCAACAGTAGACTCTTCCATAAATACCACACTTTCATCCATTTCAATTCCTTCATCTTGAACTTCTTTCTGCTTCACAGTTTCTGTTGCAACAACAGATGATGAACTAGGGGGTGAAGGTGTCGAGGTTCGAATAGATGATCCTAGACTATCCCAGCTGGAAACATCTGAGCTACTGTTGCTGCCTATATAGGAGTAAGGGTAACCACCTACGTGTGTAATAAGTGTAAAGAGCATAAGTAAATCCTACAGCAAGTTATCGATAAAAAACACAATATTTCTCATGCAACTTAAAACTCATAGAACACAATACAGCCTTAAACTAAAGATAGATAAATGAATTTAATAAGAAACTTAAGACTTTAATAAAATCCTGTAGTAAGTTAAAGGCATTTATATTGATTAAAATACATCATATATCTACATACACACCAAAACATTACAATACTTAAACTCTAATGTTTTTTTTTATCTTTTCTTTATTATTTTCTACCGGTTTTGTGATGTCAAAGATCACTGTTCAGAATGTAATTTTACAGAAAATTCTACAATCCTTTCTGTGATAAATCCTATCTCATGAAAACCACCAGTGTGGCAGAAAACACACACAAAAAACTAACACACATGTTTGCCATCAAGGTATAATCAATTGTTCTAGGAATTTTACAGTAATACTTACATGAGTCAGGCAACTAGAATGTAATGAGACATAAATGTTCAACAAAAGCTGTTTTAACAGGACTATGATTCGGACAACCACCCTTCTTTATGACTTTGTTAACCTGATCTTTTTAATTAACATTTTGCTTCTCAGTGCATTGTTTTTCTTTCTATTGCTTGTATAAAGTTGTCAATCACGTTTCAGTTGTCATTTGAGTAACCCATCCAAATCGCATATCATCATTACGGTTAGTACGGTACATACTGTATTTTATAGAAGTCTTAATATTTCGTTTTTAGTACATTTAATTAAGCCACCCGAGGTATTCAGTATATGTGGTATGAATGATATACTAAAATTTCAGTACCACAAGTAGAAATCCAAGCGTCATCGACGAAAGCTCAATTGAAGAGTTTGTTTACTTTTACATCAGTGAGTGAGTACCAACCAAGGAGGATTACATCACACTCAGTTCATTCACATCTTACAGCTTATAATAATTTATTTATTTACTACTAGCTGGAGTACCCATCCCCTGGACGCAAGTTATGTAAATTCATGATTAATGAAAGCTTATCTTAGGACATGCAAAACTGTAAAAAACGTCCATAACAACTGAAAAACACAAAATGTGAAACCGCATGGACCCAAAAAACCTCCATACCAAATTTGATGAAGATCCAACTACATGGGAAGAAGTAGTTGTAAAAAACGCAAAAAAGCCCATAAGAACCGCAAAATGCGAAACTGAAGATCTGCATGTATCTCTATATTGTTGCGGTCCGTAATCATTAAAATTAATGACAACAATTATATTTATTTCAACAAATACTCTATACGACAATATGATGTATTGCACCAATGTTTTCTACATCAACGAATTCTATTTTTTTCTGTAGATGTTCAGCTATAATATGTATAATTTTAATTATTATTGTAACACTAGCTGGAGTA